CTGAGTTTTTTTCTGGTTGTAGGTGTTACTGAGTGGTGCTGCAAAATACAGGATTTAAAAATATTGTTTTAATGTAAAACAGGAAAGATTTCAGAACTTCTTAAAAATCACAACACTTTTTTTTTTTTGTATAGTTCTCATTTCCTAACACCATTTACAAAAAAAAAAAAAAAAAACCAAAAAACACACAACCAAAAAAAGCCAACAGAAAGAAATAAATAATGAAGTTTACAAAGCATTAACCTTACCTAAGAACGCTTCCATCTTTAAATATCTTAGAAAAACCTGCTTACAGTAACTGTACTATACTGAATTACTCATAGTAATATATTGGCAAAAACACATCATTTATTCTCTGCTAAATATCATGAGTAACTTCTGACAAAGTCTTGAATTTATCTATTTATTTCTAAGACAAATGTTGCACACAATTTGGAAATGCAGAATCAACAAATATGGGAAACTAAGGTTTTTGAATGGTTCTACTTTGGTAAAAAAAATTACATTTGACTTTAATAGCAAAACAGACCATAAGCTTTGATGTCAGACAGACTTGAAACAAGATTATGAATGATTAGTCTTAATGATCAAGTACAATTTTTAAGAAGCATTTCTTGGAGTTTATTTACAGTTAGATGTTAATTTCAGTAACCCACATGAACTTTGTCATGTTGCTATGGCCAAAAAAGCCATGCTACCCTGAGCCTCCACCAAAAGGCATAATGAAAGTTTCCTTGGTTCAGTGAAACTATGAAGGCATCTCAATACAGGGAGTACTGCACAGTCAAAGGGATCAGTACCCTACAAATCTAGGCTGGCAAATGAGTTTCTGCCTAGCAATGTGAAAGAAAGGATGGAGACAAAACAAATAGGTAGAATAGCTAATAGAGACAAAAGTAACTAAAGGTGAAATTCTTCTGTCAGCCATACAAGCCTTGAAAAAGGGCCAGAACATGGAAGCACTGCTACAATAATATATTTGAACTCTGTCACAGCGCTAAAAAATTGTCAGTTGTCCAGAGGAAGCATGTTTTCTGTCAACTGTATAGTTGGTAAATATTACTTACCTTTCCAAGCTGACCAGCACAACCTGGAATTAAAAGTCTGTTCACTTACTCACACTGGCTTTAGGAAAGTGTTTTTTGCAACCTCACAGATTTTCTCCCTCTCATACTACCACTTTTGTCTTTGTGGTATCACATTAAACCCTGCTGTTCTCACTGCTTTTGACTTACTGTCCTGGCCTAAATGATCACAAGCTTAACAGTTTATAAAATTACAGAATGGTTTGGGTCAGAAGGAACAATTAAGATCATCTAGTTCCAATGCTGTAGGCAGGGACACATGCCTATAGACCAGGTTGCTCAAAGCCCTATCCAGCCTGGCCTTGAATGCTTCCAGGGAGTGGGCATCCACAACCTCTCTGGGCAACCTGTTCCAATGTTTCACCACTCTCACAGTAAAGAATTTCTTCCTAATATCTAGTCTAAACTTACCCTCTTCCAGTTTAAAGCCATTTCCCCTTGTATTTCAAATCAAATGAATGGAAGGAATTAGTAATGAAGAGGATAAGTACACCGTTAGTATAAAGACTTCATAAATAAATGGCTGAACAATTGGGTGAGTAATCATCATCTCACACAAAACTATACACCAGGGATTGCCAGAGCTAAGCCATGAGTGACTCTGGTCCCATCTCTGTGAGACAAATGCAACTTAGGCACCAGCCTTCTGTTTCACTGTCCTGACAAAATCCTCTTGAAAAAAAATACTTGATAGAAATTGCAAAGCAAAGCAAACTGTCTTAGAAGACAGTTAATCAGCAGAAGAACATTTGTTTGTAAAATTCCTTTCAGTATTTTAGCAACACTGCCTTCCAGCTCTCCAATACACAGAGTATTTAAAACCTATTCCACAGATAATCCCTTTCATATTCTGCAAAACTCAGTATATCACTTTAATAAGTATTCTTCACATAAAGGGCAGGAAAGCATTTTTAGTTGTCCAAGTTCCTATCCAGCACACAATGTACCATCTCAAACTGTTTCACAGTGCCATTCTGAAGAAAGTGTTACTATCTTAAGCCTATAATATAATTCCCAAGTCCACCTTTATGGAAGTTATAGGACCACATTACAAGAGACAGACCAAAATTATGCTTACTGTTTATACAGCAATGTAAATGTGACTTGTATGCTACCATAGGAGGAAGAAAAAGTGCTTTTCATGGAAAGCCCTATATAGATTTGTAACAATCAGAAAGGTCAGTGCAGGAGCAATAAAGGAGTTGCTGCAAAGGGATTAGCATGAACAGTATGGTGTTATAAAGGAAAAGCGCTCACCTGTCTCTGAAGATCTAGACTCAGAGAGAAACTCCTCAAGAGAGGAATCTCCAAAAAGACATCCCTCCCCAGTAGCAGTCAACCCTTAAATGAGGTCTAAGTGAGGTGTAGCTTCAGCCCTTGCAGTCACACAGCTGAACTGTCCTCACCTGTGCTCCCAGGGCTGACTGGGAGCTTTCCCCAGGTGCTCAATCAGTGGTTCAGGCCATGACTCAACAGTTCCCTTACAAGGTTTAAAAAGATTCAGTAAAGTTAACACTTCTTGAGGTCTCTGAAGGAACGAAAGCCTGTAGCTGGAGTTGAAAACAGAGGAAAAGGTGTCACAAAATGCTTCTGCTTAGCAAAGCAGAAAATTAAGATGAGTGAGGCAACCATCCTCATGGAATAACAGAACAATGTTATCTCTGGTCCTCCTGTTATTGTTAACATATTTTAAAAAGCTCTTTTTGTTGTCTCCCACAGTACTGGCCAGCTTCAGCTCTCACTGAGCTTCAGCTACACCCATTTTCTCCCTACAGTAGCCAAGAGCATCTCTGTAGCTCTTCCTTGCTTCCTGTGGTCATAGACTTCATTTTTTCACCTAAGCTCTAGAAGCTTCCTTCTGAGGCAAGCCAGCCTTCTGCCCCACCTGCTTGACATTTTGGAATTGCCTATTTCTGATCTCTTAAGGGGAAGCACTTAAACAGTGACCAGCACTGATGGACCCCAGTGTCTCTAAAAGTAGTTTCCCAAGGAACACTATTTTTTTTTTTTTTTAAACTTATTAACTGTGTTCTTATTTTCAGTACACAGATAAATATTAAACAAAGTCTTAGGGTGATATTATATGAAGGAGGTCCCAATTATCTGCCTCTCATATTTATCAAAAACATTCTTTTTAACTATAGCTTACGAAATAGTGCACTTAATGGAATGATCACAGAATCATAAGGTTGGAAGGGGCCTCAAGGATCATGAATTTCCAACCCCCCTGCCACAGGCAGGGCCACCAACCTCCCCATTTAATATTAGACCAGGCTGCCCAGGGCCCCATCCAACCCAGCCTTGAACACCTCTAGGAATGAGGCTTCCACAACCTCTCTGAGCAGCCTGTTCCAGCACCCCACTATTCTCTCTGTAAAGAGCTTCCCCCTGACATCCAACCTAAATCTTCCCTCCCTCAACCTAAAACCATTTCCCCTTCACCTGCAGTTATCAACCCTTTCAAAGAGTTGATTCCCCTCGTGTTTGTAGGCTCCCTTTAGGTACTGAAAGGCTGCAATGAGGTCACCCCACTACCTTCTTTTCTCCAGGCTGAACAAGCCCAGCTCCCTCAGCCTGTCTTCCTAGGGGAGATGGTCCAGTTCCCTGATCATCTTTGTGGCTCTCCTCTGGACCCTCTCTATCAGCTCTGTCTTTCTTGTACTGCAGACTCCAGACCTGGACACAGTACTCCAGATGGGGCCTCACAAGAGCAGAGTAGAGAGGAACAATCACCTCTCTGTACCTGCTGATCAACCCTCTTCTGATGGAAGATGAATAATCTAAGGATATAAATGCATAGCTTCATCATCCAAGTTATTTATCAGCCTACATAATCTTAGATGAACTTTGAATGCCTCTTCAAATCTTCAAACTAGCCTTTGGGCTCAGTTTTCACAAAGTGCAAAGAGTTAATTTGGGAGCCTCAGAAAATAAATCTTTACAATACCTCAAAAAAAAGTGGAGCACAGTGTTTTGCACACTGTGTCATATAGGTAGTACAGACTGCTCTCTCCAACACTACTCTGCAAAGACAGCATTTGAGAAAGAATAATTTCACATCCATCTCTGCTGACTCCTCATGAGCAGCGATAAAGATTTCTGTGCCAGATGGAAGAGTGATGCCCTCAGCAACAACAGGAGAAGCAGTGACAAATGCAAGGCTCTGGAGAACTACAATATTTTTAAGTCTTAAAAAAATTCCTGAAACTTTTGATACTTCTTGCTGTTGTTTCTGAAAACTGCAGCAGATGGATCGCTTGTTCCATTCAGCATGACATTTTTGTACTGCCATAGAAAGGGCAGAGATTACTTTCACCTCATCCTCCTTCTTGCTGAGTAAAAGCATAAACATGACTAGAACATGTTACCAGTGGGTAATAACATGACTTTGAATGAAGATTGTAATGGTCAAGAGTGTAATTAATTTGTTCAAAACAAATACTGCTTTGTCTGTGGAAGCAGATTTGCCCACATGTTTCTCAAGTGCATTTATGGAGGGTGGTTGCAATAACTCCCCCGTAGTTCAGAAGCACACAGTAGTAATTAATAATACCACTTGGCATTTGTGATTCACATATCAGCAGACAGGCAGGTGTTGGAGTCAATCTTATGGTTTGTCACAACACAGAGAAAATGAGAGCCAAGCGTGGTCTGGGATGCTCAATGATTCACTTCTTTGTGTTCTCTCCTCTTCAAAAGCTGCCTGTTGTTTCCAAACAAGAACGCTATCGTTTCAAACTTCCCCCATTATTTTGAGGAAGCATACACAAACCCGTGCGTCAGCGCTCCCTCACTGCACTCGCTTTACTCGACGGCTTGCTGTAAACGCAGGCTAACAAGCAACAGAGGCCTCAGCAGGCTCCCGAAGGCTCCTCCCCGCTGCGCAGCCCAGCACTCAGCTGTGCCGCCGGGCGGAAGTGCGAGCCGCGGTAGGGAAGCGGGCGCTGCGCCGTGCCCCTATTCTCAGCCCCCACCCTGCTGCGGGCCGGGCCGTGCGACCCGCGCTGCGGAGCGGCAGGTAAGGGAGCGGTTGCAGCCTCCTGCGTGTGCAATATCGCCGCGTCTCGGGAGAAGGGCCTGCACGAGGTATCCCGCGTAGGCGTTTTCCTCTCTCTTTAACCTGCGTGACTGTTTGCAAGGAGCTGGGCTGGAGTCAGGGACGTTGGGCCAGTTCTCGGGCTTTATTCCTTCGGCTCCCTATAGAGCAAGTTAAAGGGCTGCTAAAGAAGTAGTAGCATTACCCAGAGTTGGAAGAACTGTGTAGGTAGCACTTGGGCATCAGTTTTGGTATCCTCCCGTCACCTGGAGTCATCCCCATGAGATCTCTGCAGTGCTAGTTTTCTCTGAACTGCACCTGTAACAAAGGGTGATGGTTGTTCCTCAGGAGCAGCCAAGAAGTTAAATCGTTCAGCACAGCAGTAGAAGTGCATTGGTTACTGTATGAGGAAGGCACAGCACTGCCTTGCTTAGGACTTCCCCAGGAAGTTGGTCAGGGGGGAACAGATCAGAGCTACTCCTGAACATGCCCTACACCAGGGCTGCCTTAGGCTGGGTCATGTGAGAGGGAGGAGAAGAGGCCTGCTTTGATAGTGGCTATAGTGTGTCATGTGAAGGAATAGTTAGCCAGGAGAATGCTGGGATATAAACCCTGTTTGAGCCAGGAGCATTGCTAGAAATGAAATTAATGCTTCTGACTCCCAGCTTAGTAACTGGGCTGTCTAACTTGTTGCGGTAGGGTAGTGCTCATTCCCTTGTTTGAAGTTACATTGAGCCTGGACGCTCCTTTCAGTGCTTCTGGGTGCCAGAAAAGTGCCCTATTTTCTGGCTACTGCTGGCCACACTAAATTGGTTGTGAGCTTTGTTGTTAACAATGCAAGTCTGTCAACAAATACCTTAAATAATTTCTGTAGCTTCTTCTCTGAGTCTATAAGGCTGACCTACATGTAAACCAGGAAGCTTTCACGTGAGCTTTGTTTGACAAGCTAGTTGTTAGAAACAAAAAAAAAGAGACTAAAATAAAGGTAATTAGTAGCTATTGTCTAAAAGAAGTATGCCCAGTACCTGCAACATACTGCATTAGAACTTAAACAACAATAAGCGTGCTGAAGATTCTTCATGCAATACAAAGTACAGTTATAACAATAGAATAGCAAGGTCCTAAACTGTAGCAAGTAAGGATTCACTCAAATACAGCAACCATAGGCACAAAAATAATAGAAAGAAGTTTCTTACCTTCAGGAAGTCTCAAGTACATAGGGACCTCCCAAAAGACATCTTTGCTCTTCCTTAAATGGCCTTCCTCCTTTGCCAAGCCTTAAATTGGGTCTGGGAAGGGGTGGATCCTGACTCCACCCCTTCTGGTCATTCAGGTACATTGCATGCACCTGAGCTCCCCTGGGTTTGCCCCACCTTCGTACCAGGTGGTCAATCAGTTTGAAGCCCTGATATAGCATTTCCACTGGAGTTACAAAGCCAGATTCTCCCTGGCCCTTGATAACTGTGGGCAGTTAATTTTGTTATTGCTGTTGGACAGTGCACATATAACTGGAAGTGGACTTGTCCTGACTCAGTTGCTAGTATGCACTCTGTGTTGGTATCCAGATCGAGTAAACCAGGAATCATCGTGAAGCTATTCATATTACCTGCAGTTTTATCTGTGGTGTAAATGAGTCAATAGGCTGAAGTTTCAAATAGTGACTTTATGCATCTGAGTATGTTTCATTTTGAAACTGTAGGTCGCCTTAATAACAATCCTTTTGAATATTATGAATTTGTATAATTAGCTTTCATAATGCAAAATCTCTCTTTGTTCCCTTCAATGAGTGTATGTAATTAGTATAAGACTTGTTAATCTTTTATTTTACATGTGGAATTAATAATCCAGTATAATTTAGTAAACAAAAGCAAACTTTCATTAAAATGTGAACCTCATTTGTTATTACAGTTATAGTTTGGATGTGTATTTCCTCAGGCTGCATACTTTAGGTGAGGCTGACACACATTTCACCTCCCACTCTCAATAGGCTAAGAGATGAACTAGAATAAATCGATCTGTCGTCATAACTGCATTGTTTTCTTTCCAGTTTCTGCTAGGGTCTTCCAGGTCAAAGCCTCAGGTTGTGTATTGCTTATCAGTAAAAAAAATATCTTTTTTATATGTAAAAATGTAGGGCCCTTTTGTCCCTATGTTCCATTTTTAGGGGGCAGGGCAGTGTGCAAAAGAAACTGGAGCATTCAGACGATCTGATAATAGGACTTTTGAGGCCACCTCTCTGGTCATTATTTGACTAATTGTAGGGCTCAAATGAGAAAAGGAGATTATGACTTTTATGCTTTTTTTGCACATAAGTCTGTAAAAATTCCATTTCTTTGTGTCCGTCTTCTTAAGTCATTCCAGTTTGCAAAATAAATGCTATAATGCTTGTTAGTTTATATCTTTTGCAATCTACTTAGGATAGTCTTTTCCACAGTGTAGCCTTTCTGATGACAGCATGCAACATTGTTGTCTTCGCAGTTTGTGTTGGCTGACAAACACTATTTCTGAAGGCAAAGCTGAGCCTTATGTGAAGAAATCTTGTCTCTCAGTGTTTCAACTTGAGTAACTGTCATGCAGATAGATAAAGTCCTGCTTGCTTGGTTGTTAGCTGAAAATAGCAGTAGATGAAATTATGGGTGAGCTCTGCCACAAATGTTTGCAGGAGTGCAAATATTGGACCATAACTTGGTCCAGAGCCCCTGGGTAACAGTGGAGAAATGGCTTCTTTCTTATAAAGAGCTGTGGATTTGAATGTCCTGAAGTCAGTTATGATAGCCAAACTGAATGTCGTAATGGGTTGACCATTTTAACAGAGGAGTAATTTAAAATTCTTCATAGAAAAAGAGATATCACTCGTATAGTGAGAGATCTTGGAAGGGGGTCATAGGCTACGCAATGAGTATCTTCTTTTCATGCAGCTTGTAGGGCTGTGAAAATAAGGAAGTTGGAAAGGAAGTTCAATGAAATGTTAATAATTGCATGTAAATACATGTGTATGCTTCTATTTTCAGTACCTAAGAAGTGTCTGTGCAGGAGGCAGTTGAGTTTTTTGACCTGTGCAATTTTAAAGTCACCTGTTGGTGGAATTTGTTTTTTTTTTTTCCTCCTGATTGTTAGGGTTTACAGTGCAGTAAATAAACCAGGCAGGTACATGTTTTTGTAGAGGCTCTTAAAGGTTTATAACAAGAACAGGCACCAATTTGTTTTTAAGCAGCAATTTTCTTTAACTTCAGTTTAGTAGCTGTAATGAAAACACTAAATTACAGCCTGAAGCAGTGATTGAGCACCTGGTGGGAAGGCAGGGCCAACCTAGGGGAGCTCAGGTGCATGCAATGTACCTGAGTGACCAGAAGGGGTGGAGCCATGATCTACCCCTTCCCAGACCTCATTTAGGTGTTGGCAGTGGAGGTGAGGGTGTCTCTTGCTGGAGTTCTCTGTCTCCTTGAGGCTGTGTAAAGATAAGTAATTCTTTTTCTTATTTCTGTATCCATGGCTGTTGTGTTGGGGCTTGTTCTCATTTGCTGTATCCAAAGGCTTTGCTCTTCTGCTATTATTATCTGATTATAGCTTTACAGTAGCCTGTCTTTATTTACAGGAAATTGCGTTCTTGAACATCATACATCATTTCCTTTGGTTTTCTAACGTCAGCCTTGGGTAATCCAATGTGAATGTTTGATGTTAGCTTCAGAGTTTCTTTAATGAGTTATTCTGAGAATGTGAGTTGATTATGTTCTGGTATAGAGACCATAAGTATCCCTGTTAATTGAAGAGTGGCTCTATTTGTATTATATACAAGTTTTAAAAAAAATATTACATGGAAATTATTGTATAAGCTGGGAGGTCTAGCACAGCATTAAAAGAGACCCTAATCTTAATCTCACAGTAGATCTATAGCATTTTTTTAAACACAATTTATGTTGTGTTCTGTTCTTAAGGTACTTGTGTTTTTCTGTTTCTACACTTCTGATGTAGAACAATAGAAAAGTAACAAATTTCTCCTTTTAATGCTTTCTCTTTCTTTTACAGCTACTTGATTAGCAAGATGAAGCCTGCTAAATTGCACTATTGGATATTGGGTTGTTTTTCTATGGCACTGTGTTGTTGGTGTACTTCAGATAAATTCCCTCAGAGGTAAGCTGTGATTTAAAACAAGTGACTCAAAAAGCTACTGCTTAAATAATCTAAATCATTGTTCTTATCTGTCATTAGCCAGAAGGTGTTTTATGAGAACTACTTTGCTATGTTTCATCTCAGAAGCTCGGTTATTTTAATTACAGGTGAAAGATGATATTTATTTTTCTAAGCTAGGACATTTTTTTTTAATTTGTGTAGGGAAGTTAATATTCTACAGTGTTAGGGAATTGTTTTATTCAGGTTTCCTCTGTAGTAGTGAAGACTAGATAAAAGTATTAATAACTTTCAGTGGTGCTATGTCTGATTTTTTTCTGGAGCTATTTAGATAAATTGTGTAAAACCACACATGCATGTGAATGCATAAGAGAAAATGTGGCTATTATGAACTCACAAAACCAGAGGAAAAAAAACCGGCAAGTGATGTAATGTGAGAGCATCTCTACTGGAGCTGAGAAATAGCTTTCTCATGGAACTTTTTCTATAGCACCCTTAGAATGTATAAGCAAAGGAGATATGGATGTTAGCTTCCAGGGAATAACAATTTATTTTGACAGTTCTGCTTGTAATGCTATCAGCTTGTGCAGATTGCACTGTTGTCTTTTTTTTTTTTTTTCACTTGAGGTTTTATTATGTAGCGTAGTTGCTTGATAGCTTTTTATATCTTGTAATGTCTGAAGCAAGAGGTGTTTAGCCAGGGTGTCAATTTAGATTTACTGGAAAAAAAGAATCTTCTGTAAAAGCGTCTAAAATATGATTTACCCTTCCATCACTTTTTAAACAAAGCTTGTAAACTTTTTTTCTTCATGTAGGATTCAGGTAGTACTTAAGTCTCTCTAAATTATGTACCTCTTTATCAAGAAGCTTTGAAACACAAGTGTTTTTGTGAAAGAAAGTGATAGTATTCCTTCTAAAGATCTTCCCTAGGTAAACATAGTAGTGTCACAACTTGTTAACTTTTAAAATGTTTTGAAATTATATAGTTAAGTACTTAAAAAAATGTAGTGTTTGTGTGTAAAACAATGAACCTCAGAAATGCTTACTGTATGTTACTTCTTGTAATTCTTAATTTTTTTAGTTCTAAGTTTTGTGTTGTCTGACAGCATGGTGACACTTGGATGAAATTACACCTCTCGCAGCATCAACTGCATTGTTTGTGGTTATCTGTAGTTTGTTTTTCAGAGGAGTACTTACATTTCCAAGGCTGTATACTTTCTTTTCAGTTGAAAACATCAATCAGAATTACAAGATTAATAATGTCCTAAGCAAGTATCTTTTTTTGCTGGTGCTGTAAAAGCTTGCCAGTGGATATTTTCCAAAATGTGAAGCAAAACCTATCCTCTTTATCTTAATAAATGGGAAGCTTATCAAGCTAGTATGCAGATGTGTTTAACAGTGAGGTTTCTAAATATGTTGCTTTTATGTAATTTGTTACTGTTTGATCCTACAGTGTTTGGAGTGTTAAATATTGCAGTAGAAGTTATACAGCACTGAAGTCAGCATGTAACCTCTGTGAATTGCTGGTACTGTGCTCCTGGCTGGAGGTGGTGTTCTTAAAATACTTGAGGAAAAAATAGTTTTGTTCTTCTTTCTACAGTGATAGCCATTCTCACACCTGGAAAAAGCTGTATCTTGCTCACCACTGGCCAGTGACTGTATGCAAGGTGAGATTTGTTTTTTTTTCCTCTTTTATCTGGACAAAGGGAACCTTAGACAATAAATCTTTGAAAAGAGAATTAGTAAAGCCCATTGAGTTTGCATACTTGCATTTTAATAAAGGTACTGGCTGATCTTAGTGCAACTTCTGCGATTTTTTCTATACTCTGGGGTACCACTAAGCATGATGGATTGTGGTGTGTGCACTTCAAATGTAGTAGTTAATGTGGGATGTGCTGTACACTAAGCCTTAATTGCTTGTCACGTGTTTTGTTAGTCCTCAACTTAACCTTGTACTTTTGCTAGACTGTGTAAGCAGACTTCCATGCTTTGTCTGCCTGAAGACAGCTGGTTAGCACTTGAACTGTCTTGTATATTGAGGTTTAGCTTTAAAATGTTGGCTTCAAAGTTTTGGTAACTCATCAAATACAAATTCTATCTGGAAAAAGGGGGCCCTGTATGAAGTTGTTATGGCAAGTGTCTTTGAGCATTTCTGTATTTGGGGGATGGAAACAAAAAAAAAAAAAAAAAAAAAAGAACCCTGCCCTGCTGAAAATCCTGTATAAAAGTAGTAACAGCAAAACTTGCTGTCAAAAACTTCTGTGGAGAATGGGATATGCTTATGATAAATGTGTGGGGGAGATACTAATACAAAAACTTAGCTGTATTTAGCTGAGACCAAGGAGTGGCCAGTAAGTTGGTTGTTTACTTTTTTTTTTGAGGGAGATCAGAAAACTGAAGTTAAAATCATATGAAACAACATTTTTGTCTAGTTTCACCTCCCTGAGTCATTGGAAAAAGGGAGATACCAACTCTACTCCTATAAGTGCTTTCTTTTTTGTTCAGATTGTATGTTAACTTGGGAGGTTCCCAAATTCAGTTTTGAATGTGAAGAAATAGATTATTCTGCATCTTCAGTTATTTAGATGTGATTGCTGTGTTAAGTTAAAACTGCTGACATGATGTCAAAAGGAAAAATGATAGCTGGGCAGAGTAAACTGCAAGTGTGTTATTGTTTAAGTTAAAAACTGCTTTGTTACAGTATGTTGTGCAAGCACTTATGAGTTGATGTATCTTGTGCAAAGGAATTTGATTACAGGTGAGGGCTTCAGTACATAGTGTGTTCTTGACACGTGTGCATCTTAATGCCTACCTATTCTGTATATTTGTGTGTGGAAAATGTTTCAGGTATTTGAAGTCCTGCAAGGCCTTTTTTTTTTTTTTTTTTTTTTTTTGCAAATGTAGTGGACGTGGTCCATCATACCAAAAATTTGTGAATGTACCTCTCTCAGCTCTTCCTGTGCTTTAATCTGTACGTAACTGTGCTCAGCTCTTGTTTTAATACTGAGTGTGTTCTGCACAATTAAGCTGGAAAGTACTGTTTTAGAAAAATGCTGTGGTAAGGCTCAACTTAAATTTTCTGTTCAGAAATCAGTGTGAATTTTGTTAGATGGAAGTAGGAGCTGCAGAAGGGAAAATAAGGGGGCTTGCCCTCCCTTTTTGTGGAGTTGGACACATCTTTAATTCGAGAACTTATGAAGGTAAATGTTATGATTGCAGCTTTTTCATCTTGGAGATTGTAAAAAATGAATAACTTTTGTGGGTTTTTCCCTTGTGAAATAGAGAAAATCTGATGCAAGTATCTATGCAATTTGGTTCCTGTTCTGGATAGAATAGGAAAAATGAAGAAATGGATACTAAACCCTGCTGTGATCTCTTTTACTATAAACATGCTGGTGTTTTCCCATTTTACAATATTGATTTTAAAAAAAATTGGAAAATTACCATGGTCAGAACTAGAGAGGAGGGTGAAGAAGCCATCTGACGAGCGCAGCGTGTGACCAAATGTGTTACAGGTGGCAGTGGGCACACTATGCTGCAGGCCTGCAGTGCAACACCAACTTTGGGAAATGTGTAGGAGAAACTGCTAGCTGGGTTAGCACCATGATTAGGGAGAGCAATTGCAGGTGTTTCACAGACCTAAAGGTAAAATGATGCCAGATCTTTATTCATCTCTTCAGTCTGCTGTGTTTCAGCGCTGTGCAGCTTGAAGAGGCTTTTACTTGCTGGAAATAAGCTGTTGACTTTCGGTGCTCTGTCACTCAGCTGTTCTGAGTTACTTGGGGCACCCAGTTTGGTCTTGGGAGACTTAAAATGTTGGCTGTCTGGCCACAGTTTGACTCTTTAGCTTTCCTTCTGACCTCAGAATGCTATTTCAGATAGGAAACAGCACAAGTCCTGGGTCTGAGCAGAAGCCCTGGTTGTGTCAGCTAAATTGAACTGAAAAATGCAGTGGCATTTGGGAACTGTGGTTTAAAAATTGGATAAGGAGCACAACTGTGCTGTTCTTGTGCCCAGCTGAGCAAGATTGTTATCTGTCAGTCTCCTTTTCAGGGGATGTTTAGTCACTGGTCATTAACTTCCTGCATCTTGGGCTGGTTAGCTGAGCTCTTTCAACTCCTCAAAGCTTGTTTGGACAGGAGCAGTCTCATTAATGTTTCCAGCGTGTGTTTGTAAGAAAGTCCTGCATAGCCTACAGTTTTGCTGCTGCTGGCTTGTGGCATGTAGAAGGCAATTAGTGAGATTACAGATCTGTTTCTGTGTTTCTCTATACTCCACTTCTGCTTCTGCGTCACGTGAAAGGCATTTGTGGCGTAATTAAGGCAGAATGGGCAACGCAGAGCTGAAAAGATAATATTTTGGAGGAAGAAAATCTGAGGAGGTTGTTATTAAAGAAAATTGTTTACCAAAGAGAGACCTAATTATTAAGCAGGGTAATCAGGGAAAGCATGGTCATTTCATACATCACAAAATGACTGTAAAAACTTTTTATTTGTGCTCAGAAATATGTATTCAGCTCTAAATAATAGCTAATGTGTAGAGTATTTCTCCTGTATTAGCAAAAATCTTGACTGGAAACCTTGGTAGGAATGTACATTATCTTTGCTCTTCGCTCTCTTCCCTTTACTCAAAAATAGCTTAAGAATGCTTATTTCAAGTAAAATAATTAGAAAGTACTTTTTTCTTTTATCTACTCTTAGTGTTTTTCCTTTTCATTATACTAACAAGGCTACTCCTGGACTTTTAAAGATGGTTGTGTGCTTGTCCAGTATTGCAGCTTATGTTTATATTTTTTTTGATGGCTTTGCACCTCTTAGAAGGATCTGGTGATAAGAAAAATAATGAAAAATGCCACCTACAATATAGGATAAATGTAGGGCTAACTCATTCATTTAGCATGGCTCTTCCTATTAGCTCAGAATCTGTCCTTTTGTCTTCTGTTACTGCTGCCTGTGGGGATACCCTGGTGTTCTCTTGGTCTGTTTCAAAACTTCAGCTGTGGTCAACAGGCAACTATCACAGCTTCATGTACCTGGAATCACTGATTTGAACAAGCAGAATCTCTTGTATCTCTAGTGCTTTGGGCCACCAGTGAATGTGCTTTGTTTCTTGTTCTAAGCTATTATCTCTGGTCACATATAACAAATATTTTGTATTTTTGTTTTCTACAGATGAGTGCTAATGATTGTCAAGACCCTCCAGACTACTGGACAATTCATGGGCTGTGGTATCGTTGTAGATTGTTTTAATTTCAATCTGGAAAGAAAAATTTTCATACCAAAATGTTTAGGGCTTTTTTTTTTTTTTTTTTCAATGCCATTCTGTTTTATGATTGCTTCAAAAAAAGCCTTTCTTTCATTGGAAATTCAAAATCTGCTCTGATATAAAACTGATGTGTTTTCCTGTATATCCTGTGAGTCACTGAGCTACAGAAATCTTTTCATGTGAGCATCTTGTTTACATTTGTCTTTATAAAATCACCACTGTTCTCAAAGAGAAAGGGAAGTAATGGCTTCCCCTCTTTCTTCCTGAGTACAAAGATTTCGTTAGTGACTCGTGACAGCATGTAAATATCTTAACTGAGCACAAATATTGTGGAAGTCTGGAAAAAACTAATTTACTTCAAAGGAATCAACTACGTAACATTGGTGTCAATGACAGCAATTAGGTTTTCATGACAAATACATGGAAATATTCTCTATGGAAAGTTAGTAAACCGCATGTCCTGGGAGGATGAACAGCATTAAATATAGATTTCCAATGACTGTCTGATAATACTTGCTCAATTGTCGCTTAATGCAGTGGTTGGGGAGCTCAGTGTTATCAGTGGCCTGATGTGCACAATTCTAACAAGACAGTTCCTGTATCAGTACTTCCTCTGTACATTATTACACATTGTGATGAATTGTAGGGCCTAATTAAGAGCCTCTACATGGGAAATGTTTTAGCCATAATTAATGTACTGGATTTTTACTTACAAAACTTCATAAATGCTGATGGACAATTTGTATTTTGCAAGTTTATAACTATAATCTCTCATACATATTTAAAATTGAGACTATGATATCTCCCAGCTTTAGTAATAGCTAATATCTTTTTTCACTTTGATTTTGCTTCTTTAGGCCTGACAAAGGTGAAGAATGTAATAGGACGTGGCATTTCAACGTCACAGAGATTAAGGTATTTATTTAAAAAAACAAACATACAAACAAAAAGGCGTCATCCAAACAGCTCAGTGTTTTTGTGCTTCTTATGTGCAAAATGTGTAGCTCAAAACAAATCTGTGATTGTAGTTTGCTGAGAGGTATGACTCCAGCAGTTGATCAAGTGCTTCTGATACTGCTTGAAGTGACAGTGCATGTGATCAGTAGCAGCTGTTCATACCTGGTTTTGTGGACATGTGGTTGAACTTGTTAAGCCACTTCCTCTGTAGCAAGAAAACATCGAGGGAAAATAGGCACTGAATTTCCAATGATAACCAGTATTTATGAAAAAGAGGTTACAGTCAGGTCATGATTTTTTTTTGTTGTGTTTTTTTTTAAATGTGTTAATTTATTAAAAATATCTACATCTGAGTTACAGAACAGGTTAGAAGGGATCTCTAAAGAGCATGAGGTGCAACCCCACCTTGCTCAAGCAGAGACACCTACTGCAGTTTGTCTAGGCAGCCTTGGTGTATCTTCAAGGAGAAAGACTCCGCAGCCTCTTCCAGATGTTTTCTACATAGGAGTGGGGAACTTGATCATGTGATGATGAGAAGCTCTGTGGTTGAGCAATTTCTGAAGGAACAGCTGAAAGAAAATCTTACTAGTCTGTACTAATGTATTTGGATGTTACTAAGGTATTTGCATCTGCCCATTACTACCTCCAACAGCATTTCAAGAATAAGTAGGAGAAAGGACCTCTTTTCTTTTTCTGCAGATGAAGTTTCTCAGTGATGCTGAAAGATAAGGCCTCAGTTTTAGAAGAAAATACCCATTTATGTTGATTTTGTTAGAAATAGCTTTTAAACTCAGCAGGTAAGTTTATTAAGAAACTGTGTTATTTCGTAGGATCTTATGTCAGACATGAGACGCTATTGGCCTGATGTGATTCATTCATCTCTGAATCGCACCCACTTCTGGTGAGTACAGACAAAACTAAACAACAACTTTGGATATTATTTTATGGAAAAAAGTCAATCTGAGTTAATTATCTTTCAGGGAAGGTGTTATGCATGAGAGGCAGCATCCAGGAAACCGCTGAAAGTGGTACATGTAAACCTCCCCCTCAGTTTTCTTAATATAGCAGGTTCTGAAGAGGGAGCTAAGGCAAAGGTTTTGAAGCAAACCTTACTAAAAGTGAGCAGTAGAATGTTTGTTCCCTTTTTATACAGGGAAGAGATGCATCTGCAGCTGATATTTAAATCTTGCACTGTGGTTGTGTTGTAGGGATGTCAGAACTAGCTGCAAGAGCAGTTTTTGGATCATTTCCTCGCTAGCTTCTCTGCTTTCCTTTTGATATTTCTGAACAGAGAGTGGAAATGGAAAAATAATTTGCATTGGGTGGTCCTAGCCATTTCTCTTCAGACTTCTATTTACTTTCCTAGCAGCTTAAAATCAGACCAACTCAGCGTTTGTTTAGAGATCAACCTACTTGGCATAAGGGAAGGGAGAAGGAGACTTTGATCTCTCCTGACAATGTTACTATGCGTATTTTCCTTCTTTTCTGGTTCCTCTTTGCTTTTATATCACCAGGTGCATGGACTGAAGAGCAGTATAGATGTTTGAGGCTGCACAGACTTCAGTAGTTTGAATGTATTATTAAACTAAAATCACTGGCAATTTGATGTGATTTGTTTCTGCCTGATCTACTGTGAAGATAATAACATCAGATAGACGTAGCTTTAAATGCTGCTGCCTCCTGCTTTTTTCAACTGTAATTACCTCTGGGACTTTCGTTTAGATTACTTCCTCTCTGAGTCACTAGGGCAGATCTTTGAAGGGAATGGGAGTCTCTTTTAATGTCCTCACTCTACAGAAGATCTTTGTCCTCCAAGTCTTAAAATGGTCTTAGAAGTGTCTTACATCAGTCTGAATGTCAAAACTGTCCCTCCAGAAAAGTGATCGTGCTTCTCTGTACTCTTCTCCTTGTGCTGTGCTGGGGAGAGTATGGCTGTCTATTTCAATGGCATCACAAATTTATGCCAAGTTAAACTGTTAAGGGCATAAGAAAAATGTGTCCTCAATCTATTCCCTCCCATGTCCTGAATGCTCACCTGTTCTAACACAGATACCTTAATAGGCAGCAGGTATGAACAGATATAAAGTCTTTTTTGTTTCTGTTTGAGGCTAGCAAACAGTGTTTATCTCTTGTTATCATTAGTATAAAAATAATCTGAAAGTTAAGTTAGAACACTGTAACTAGTATTTTGATTGACAGAGTAATTCACTCCCTCTCAGTAAGGTAACAAGCACACTTTAATTGGCAATTCTAATCGCAGATTTTGTAAACGCAAGTGTTAAGCTGGTTGGAGGCCAGTAAGACCTTGCTGTATGTCTTAATTCAGTTAAAATAGTGTTCACTTCAATTTTTTTTTAAATGTCTAGTATAAAATAAATGACTGAAATGAGAATCTGAAAATAAAATTAAGATTTTTCATTGTAGACTTGAAGGCACCTTAGGTAAGGAACAGAAGCAGCGACAAGCAAAATGGTTAAGTATCTTAGCATATCATATTGGGGTTTTTCCAAGACTGCCCTAATTGCTTACTGTGTTTCTTCCTGTACTTACCTCTTAGTTATTTCTGGCTTAAAGGAGGAGATAAAGATTCTTCAGGGGGATTAAAGAATGGCTGTAGATGCCTCTGTAAGAATAACTGTGCATCTTTGTTCACCTTGTTTACTAGTGAACTGTGGCCTTTGTTACAAAGTAGTGTGAATAGGATACAATAGAATGCCTTGTAACAGGATGTATACTTTGCCTCTCAAAATTTACTATCTGAAAACCCACTTCTTGGGGAAGTTTTAGACATTTTTTGAACAAAATAAAAATTTCTAAGTCAAGAGAATTCCCTTCAGGATCAGCATAGTGGAAGGGATCTGTGCTTCCCCAGGGCAGGTGGGTATCCCTCATCTTAAACATCCTGTGGGCAGTTCTTGCAGATGTGGGTTCTTACCAGTTTTCAAGCTGGGTGATTTCTGCAGTTCTTGGACTCACCTGACATGTGCCCAGTGTTGTGGGCTGCATATCTCAGATACTGAGCTTGGGGAGCTCTGTCCTTGTTATATTTTTAAAAATCTTAATGTTTAGCATTTTTTTTTTTTTTTTATCACATAGGAGAGTTTATCAATTTCATTCCTTTGTGTTTTTGCTGCCACTTAAGACTCCGTTTGTAGAACTTAACTGTTAGGTATGTCAGTGTGGTATTTGTATCTTAAGAGCACCATCAAGAAAATGGTGAAGAAGGACAAATTATATTGTGGAACCCAGTCTAATGCTGTACCCCCAAGTACTGTGGAAGTACTTGTGTCCTACGAAGAAAACAATGTTAAAGTTGTTGATGGCTAACATGTTCTCTGTGATACTGCTTATCTTATGAGTATGAGGAGGTACGGAAGGGAGGATGACCTTCACAAATGCAGGTGGCCATGTTCTGTATCCATGTGCCACCCAGCTAAGGCTCAGCACAAGGACCTTGTCTAATTGTGGCCTATGTGAAGGATAAGTCTCAGTGAATAGCATTATGAGATGTTCTTTGAATTTCTAAACAAATGGTTTATCATTCCTTTTTTTTCCTGCAACTTGTTTAACTCTCTTCCACTTAAACACTTCACATGCCTGTGCTGAATGGTCAGAGTTAGCTATATCTGCATCATGGTTTTTTTTTTTTCAATGTCACTGTGCTGCAAAAATGAAATTATGTGAAAAGAAACAGGTAGAGAGCAGAACCATTACTGACTTTAAGACAAATTCATATACATAACGTATAGCAAAACACAATACTAATCTGGAATGTCTCAAGTCCACGCTATTGTCTAAGCCACTGTACCATCATTTCCTTTCTCTTTTGCATCTCTTACTTTTATTTGAAAACTTTTTCTCTTGCAGCTGCCAATGTTGAGGACAGCTCATTTATACATTTCTAATGTGGCTTACCGTCCAGAAGAATTCTTCCTTAGCCTGATGTTACAAACCACGATGAGGGGCTTTAGCTTTTCTCTCACTATCCTTACAGGTTCAAAAGCTCTTGAAAAGTGCTTCCTCTAAAAGAAATAAGTGTTGCTGTAAATAATGTTTTATAGGACTTGAATTTTGGTTTCTTCCTATAGGAAACACGAGTGGGAGAAGCATGGCACTTGTGCAGCCTCACTTCCGATTCTAGATTCTCAGAAGAAATATTTTAGTAAAACCCTGGAACTCTACCAGCATGTTAACCTTAATGGGTATGTTAATGAACTCTCTGGTCTGCTTTTACTTCAGACAGTTTCTATGAATTTAAGATCTAATTTAAGAAAAGAGTCTAAAAATCTCAGGCATAAATAACTTTTAGTACTGGAGTGTAGAAGAGGGGTTTTCTGCTTTGAGAAACATGTCTCTGGTCATTTCAGTCTTGTAAGGCAGCGTGCTTCGTTTCATAGTCACCTTCTAACACAAGCTGTTAAACTTTGAGAAGCTGTATCAGCTGTATCTCACTAACAAAAACTGTGAGACTTTAACTTCTAAATCAAGTGTCAAAAGCTCCAGATCTCTGAGTTGTACTGATACTAAACACTTGGTTGTGTTTAGGAAATACAGTTTTTATGCTCAGAGGGGAAGGCAAGCTGCAGACAAACTTGTGCAGAACATCCTGGGAAGGTGCTGAAAAATAACAGCAAGGAAGGCTGTCCAGAAGTGCAGTCTTCAGTTGGTGTGTACAGCTCTCAGCTTTCCTTTCAGAAGTAACCTCCATCTGACATTCTTGCTTTGTCCTAAGAACTGATTTCTCCTAATGGTTCCAAACACTGGCAATTGTAGATACACTACCTTGATAGAAGTGTTGGAACTTGTCCAAGCACTGTATGAACATATCACAGCTACAAATGAATATCAAAAGTCCTACCCTGGTCAATGCTTATTATGGATGGGAAAACATTTAACTTGGGCTTGTTGATCATGAAACACCTCTTTGTGTTGGAAGACTTTATCTGGGAGATGAGAAAAATTCTCCTTTTGTATTTAGAAATGTATATGTATTTAAAAAAAAAAAAATCTGGTTCATATTTTCTGAGCGTCTTGTTCAAGCAATCTGTTTAATAGTCTTATTTACTTTGCATATGCACAAAGGAAATCTTTTTTTCATCCCACTCATGTTTTTGCAGGTGTCGTGTAAAACTTAATCATGCTTTTCTAAGCACAGCGCATGTTGTATTTAATGTTAAAACTAACAGTAACTGATAAACCAAATGCCTAAGTAGCTGTGTGACTAGAACATCTTACAGATGGCACAGTGACCGACTATGGCTCTAAATCAGCATGTGTAGTGAAAAAAAAATTCAGATTGTAACATCTTGAAGTTAATTGCTCATAGCATACTCCTCACTGAGGGAGGGAACAAAGCACCCACATAATTAATTTCATCTTTGCTGGAAAATGATTGCTAATGTTCTCATTACTTCATATATGCTTTTAGGAGGGAAAAGTAGTGTTAGAATGATTACGAGTTCCCTTAAAAAGATCTTTAATATTAAGAGGATATCATACAGGCTCCTGTAAAATGATGATAGAACATTGTGTTTTCATTAGCAAGTAGATCCTTACACAGTTGGGCAAGATCTCCCTCGTGCAAAACTTGACCTTGGAAGGGCTAAGCATTATTAGCGCTCATCATCCAAAGAGATGCTGAACATTTCCATGTACTGCTGAAGAAGCAAAGAAGCTGGTATTCTAAGGCTCAGCACCTGTTGGGTCCTGAGGTTTGCTAGCAACTGAAAGTGTGAACTTCACTCAGGACTGAATCTAAAGGAAAGTGTGTTTAAGCCAAAAGTTGTTGAGAATTACCTTGTTGCTCTTATATGAACAGCTGTCCTGTTTAAAAAAAAAAAAAAAAAAAAAAAAAAACATCAAAACATTTCTAAAAATCACTTTGTAAGTAACCTGACATCAGTGTTGATCCAGATTCTGTGTCCTAGTGGCCAGAGCACACGAGTCAGTGTGCCCTTGATGTAAGGGAACGGTGCCATGTTAGCTCTCAGCAGTGCAATCTGGAGATCCAGCAAATGATAGTAACATGGTCTTTTTTGTTTGTTTTCTGAAGGCTTGTCTCTCTCCTGGCTTCTCAGAGTAAAGTATAACAGTGGGTTCTTGCTGACCCTGCTTAGTTAATGGGAAGTTGCTTTTAAGAAAAGGACACCTTCCCTTGGCCTGGCAAAGGATGGAAGACAAGTTTTCCTTGTTCAACATAATTTTAAGTTGTCACTGACATTATTAATTTACTAATGCTTGTGAAGTTATATTTCTATACAAGAACCATGGAAATGTTTTGTCTTTCCTTTAGTTTTCTCCTGAAAGCTGGGATAAAGCCAGGCAGTACATACTACCAGGTAAGAAAGGACCTTTTATAAATGCAGCATCACATGTGTATACTTCCAGCAAAAGTCAAATTATTTCTAGAGAGTAAATGATCTTTAATTGCATGTGTTATATTTAAAGTTGTGCTTCGTCTTAAACTTTTTTCAAACTTACTGTTGGAAAATGTGGTAGTGACTTAGTAATTTTTACAAGCTTTTAAATTTTTCAGATGGCTGATATAAAGGAAGTGCTTACAAAACTTTATGGTGTTACACCAAAGATCCAATGTCTTCCTCCAGAAGAGGTAACAAAATAAATAGATAAAACCAAACACAACCACACAAAAGCCCAAAAATAATAACATCCGAACAAACACATTTTTATCAAAAATTTAAGAGAGTAAAAATAGTGAAAAATCTGCAGCATAGCAAAGCACGGAGTGTTCCTTGTGCGTGCAGCTCCTTGGAAATTGGGTGTTGCTCAGTTCCTAGAATTGAGTTCACAAAAACATTACCTGCATCCTGGCACCACTGAGCTCAGCTTATGTTACTGTTGATATATATCCATTTCTTAACACAGAAATATTGTTAATGGAGGGAAGTGTCCATTCTTCATGCCATAGCTTTGTTCTTAGTGTAGGTACTCAGACACTGGGAGTTGTGGGTTTTTAAGCCCTATTTGCCTTAAACTTTCTACAGGCACCTCTTACAGAATGCTGTACTCATTAGACTAGAGGTAAACTTTATATGAGTACTTTCTCCTGCTGTTGCTGAAGCATAACTGCCATATAACAAATCAGCAGACCCAGTAAGAATGAGCTGAAAGGAGCTAGTTAATGCATTGCCCTTGACAGGGGTACTGTCCATTAAAAGCAGTCTTTAATTCACTGTGAATGGTTTATGTTTTGCTTGAAGTTATTCGCTATACAGAACCATTCAGAAATAAAGCAGTTTAAAGGCTCGTTTCTGAGCTTTGTTCTCAAAAGCCCCTATCTGAAGAGATATGAAGGTGTTTTGATGGTCATAGGTTCAGTTCTTCCTTTAGAGCTATTGTGGTCTAATGTTTCCATTTCTTTGTGTTTTTCCTTGCCAAGATTGTACTGTGAATTGCAATACAGCAAAGAATGTAGTACATAGGCTTTGCTGTAGCATAAAGTACTTGTTCTCATTATCTGAACTAAGAATGCTTTCGGAGGAGTGAAGTAGTAGTCTGAACAATATATGGATAGGCTGCGTAGTTGTCAATTTGTTTCCTCTAAGGTGACTCTACTTTAAAAAACAAACACACCAAAAAGCCACAAAAAAAAAAATCCAGCAACAACAGAAATCCATACAAGATAGTTCTTCCTCTTCTGTGGATCTTATTATTTCGGCTCAATAAAAATAGTTTACCACACTTGCTAGAGTTATGGCCCACACACAGAGAGCAGTTTTATGAAAACTTCCCAAGATACAGTTGCTGATGGAGTTTAATAGCTCTTATGCTGTCAGCTCATTTGCTTTAGTAGTGCCCTGAGATTCTTAGAAGTTGCTTCATGTGAAAAAGAATTTAATGTTAAAATTATTTTTAAATGTATTTTTGTTACTCTAAGCAACAAAGGAATATGAGTTGAATGTGGCTTTACAGAGGGATGCAGTCACTTCTGTTCATTCTTAAGGGTTTCATAACAGGTCTTTTATCCACATATACTTTGTGTGTGCATCCTCTGTGACTTTGCCAATCTCCATTCCTATAGCAAAGAATTATTTCTTTAATGCCCACTGTGGGTTATTTTAGCCTGTTCTGCAGTCCGAAAGTGATGTTTCCACCAATCCTGGCAGCCTACTTTGGTATTCTCTTCAGTAAAAACTTCTGTAAATCCAAGGTGTTTTTTTCTCTCTTTTTGGAGAGCTTTCTTTGGTTCAGTTCCCATCCTTCTGTAAAAGAGTTGGTGGAAGGTGCCTTTTGGGTCAGACATATTTTTTTAATATGCTCAGAGTTCAACCAGAGCTCATTGCTAAGATGAGCGGCTTCTGTGTACTGGGCCAGTTTACTAAACAGTAAGATAATCTGCCATGATATTTCTTAATAAGTCTTACTAGTTATGCGCATTCCCCAAACTGTTAGTGAATTAAAGTACTGGAATGTGTTTACTTGCCTACAAGTGTGTTCTATAAGATGTTTGTAGTGGATGCTTCCAGTACTTGTCTCCTTCACATTTTTACAAAGGTAACTGTGCAAGCAAGCACTGCTGTATTCAATAGGTAAGGCAGTATATTTGACAAAATGGTTTATTTTCTTCTTTGTAGCAAGCTGATCTTATCTCTTATGTTTCTAGAGTGAAAAAGCACAAACACTGGGTCAGATTGAATTCTGCTTCACCAAGGAATTGAAGCTGAGGAACTGCACAGAGCCAAAGGGTGAATCCAGCCAAATGCACAGCAGCTTGCAGCTTGTGACAGAGGAGTTATCTGTCTGCAATGACACTCTCCCAGTCTATTATCCTTCACAAGTCCAAGATCACAAATGGAGCCTCAAGAGCTTGAAAAAACTTCTTCAACAAAACAAGTTAATGACAACAATCCCTTAAAGTCATACCTTGGAAAGCAATTTTGACTTAGCAATATTACAAAACCTTGCCTGTATCAGGTGTTCTGAGGGCACTTCTGCTTGGGGAAAAAAACCAAAAAAAAAAAAAAATGCTTTGGCCATTGTAAAAGAAAATCATTTGCATTGTAATACCAGCTATGTAGGCTGAAGTCTTGAATTGCTGGTCTGGTACAGATGAAATCAGAATCTAATTTAGAGCTCTGTCTGTACTTCTTGGCTTATTTTATAATTTGAATCAGTGTTCAAATAAGCTGTGACGACTTAGTTTCATTTGCAGTTCAATCTGCCACTTCAGCCACATGTTTTTTTGGCAGTGACTCAGGGTAGCTAAGTTATTCTTTGTTTTCAAAAGATGCTTATCAACTTGAGATGACAATTTATTGAAGAGAATATTGTAAAATGGAAGAAAATGAGGTCTGTCTGCTTTGTGTAAATATGTTCTCCAGAAGCACTGTAGCATTAAACCTTTCCTCACTCAGATTACAGGTGCCCAAAAATGACAACCTTTTAACAAATATACTTATTGGCATCTGCTAAAAGAACCCTGAGATTGTACTTGCAGCCTCACCTGTTCATAGGTTGATTTTGGCCCAGTGACTAATACCATCATGAAGAGTGACTGGTTTTAAATTGTCTGCTTTTATAGGAAAATAATATTAGACTCTAGAAATATTCTTAATGTTTAACAAATTTGAACAATTAGCAATTAATCCCATAACAATAACATGCCACAAAGTTGCATGCTTCCAAGTAAGACTGATTTAGATGAGATCCTTTACGCAGTGCTATGGTGATGCAAGTGTCTCAAATTGTCTTTGAAAGGCAATTAGGACTCAAAGAACCATCTGTTAGAGAAGTGTATTACTGCAAAAATGGTAAAAGCATTGTTAAGGACAAATTTATGTTATCTTTTAGGTTTAGAAACCATTTGTATTTACTTGGCTTGTCCCTGTACCTCTCCTTTAAGGCGGTTACCTTGCCATTCCAGAGTACTGTGGTTGTATTTTTTTTTCCAAGTCCTCTCTAGAAAAGGGAGGGTTCAAGTCCTCTCTAGAAATTTGAATTTTTTTTTTTTTTTTTTTAATACATGAGATGGGGTATGATCTGCATTTTAGCATGTCAACACTTCAGTAAAGCATGGGTTTTTCTTTCCAACTTCTTTCCTTCCTGTGTCAAGGAATGTAACAGATCTGGAGTATGTTATACAGCCTTTAAAGTCAAAACTAAAAAAAAAGTTATCCTTTTATTCTTTTTCCCTACACCATTATTGTTGTAGTGGAAATACTCAAAATTGATCTTTGACATCAAAAATGTCGAATTCAGAAGGGAAAAGGCAGAGGATGGAGTATGTGGTACTTGTTGTAAAGCCATATAAGCTCACTGCTGTTTTAAGTACATTAGTGTTTATGGGTTAACTAATTTCAAGGGCTGTGTGATTGTTAAATTTGAGAGTGGTGTTTTTTTTTTTTTTTTTTTTCCAGTGACTTTTGTTTGGCTGAAATTCACCTTTACATCTTTTTTGAAGTGTAACAGGATGAATCCTGCTCTTGATTCAGTGAGAACTTTGCACATGTTTCTGAGTGGAAGGTGATTCAAAGACCAGAAATTACCTGTTGTGCATTGGTATTTTTGGCCATTTTTCAGGGAGTGCTGTGATGGTCCAGTATTTTCTCTGGGGTTGACTTTAATAATTGTGTAATGTTCTTGTAAGAACAGTAAAGAGCACACTATAAAACTTCTGTATATGTATATGTTTGTGTATGCATTGTACATGATATATCACATCTGTTTGCAATTAAGAACACCAATACAGCTTAATTATGAACACAGTTCTCAATTAGAACAACTGACTTCTCAAAATCTGTAGATGTTGTCATCTTGGGAGCAAGGGTAACATGAGAAAAAAGATATAAAATCTGTAATAGTACACTGCTGTCAGATGAATGGTTGCTGGGGCTGCTGGTTATTTTAATTCTTCTTCACAGCTGAGGAAAAGCTCAAATAGAAACAATGGGAGTGTTGCTGGTTCTTGTACAGGCTTAATGGAAGCTTGAGTCAATAGCCTGATTTTTTTTTTTTTTTTTTTTTTTTTTTAATTGTAGTGTAAGTTGTTTTCCTTTATATCTTCAAATAATGCCTAGGGAGACAAAATATATTATGTACAAAATCTCCATAGTTCACATGTAATGCATTAGTTACATATTGCAGACCACAGCTGCAAATACCAGCTTCAGAAGGAAGTAGCATAGACACAGCCTTTATAGTGTGATGCTACACGTTCAAGCTGATTCTTGCAAAATGGTCAGCAGATCAAGACAAATCAAAGCTATTGACCTCTGCAGAGCAGACAGTGCAGCTTCCATATACTTTTCGGCCTTCTGCTCAAATGCAAGCAATGTGAAGGAGCTGCCAAGTTCCAGAACTTAGAGGATAACCTGTATCATCTGAAATGGGAGAGGAAAAAGGGAGGCTGCACAGCCAGCAGTACGCTGAACAAGAATCCTGCTACTAAATGAGAAAGTGATTGATGAGGGTTAAGTCAAGATGAACTAAAAATAAATCAGAGACAGAATCTCAGCATGGCTGAGGCTGGGAGGGACCCCCTGGGTGTATCTGGTCCAATCCTGCTCCAGCAGGGACATCCAGGCCTTTGTCCAATACATTTAGTTTTTCAGCTTATATATTAACAATATGCAACCACTGTGACTTGGTATTGATAATCCCACTTGTGTAACTTCTAGGATGATGGGAAGGCTTTTGAAAAACAATTGGCTGACTTATGCAAGCAACTTCAGAGATCTGTACAAAGGATTCCCTAAAGACAACCGAAAGAGCAGATGAATGAATGGTAGCACCAGTTCAGACCAAAGATTATGGCTATCCCTATCAATGACTCGCAGCCAATTACCAACCTTGGCAATTGCTTTTCATCAGGTTGTGTGCAATTCTAAGTGTTTTACTAATACAATTTAAGTACAAGAGGTAAACAAAGGTATGTTGGGAATCTCAGGAATTGCTTTCAGTTCTGAAAAGTGGTGCTTACTTCCTTAACCAAAATAAAATCTGCCAGCCTTGAAAACTGAACACATCCTGAGGAAGATGAGTTTTATTTTTTTCTGCATCATTAAACTAATTTAACTAAATCTCAACAGGGAAGTTGTTTGTGCAGTCTCAGTGCTTTAAAACACTAGTCAGCTCCACAAAGGGATTTAGCTTTTTTATACCGGTTGTCTGTCTGCTCTTATGCACAATGTGTAAGTATTCCATGGTGTGTAGGTCAGCACAGGCTCTCTCCTTTTCATGGTCAGTTCCTGTTCTCTCTATTGCTCCAGCACAGATTCCTGCCTCAGCTGGCCCTTGCTGTCTGTCAGAACAAAGTAGGGCCCCATCACATCCCAGCAGCAGGGCTGTGGGGCCTACAAATGTGGACAACACAAGTGCCTGCAACAGCAAAGCAGTTGCTGGCTTTGGCAGTGGAGACGGCAGCTTTTGAGAAGTCCTTTTGTATTCAGACCACTCAGCTCTGGTGTGGATGTGCTTCAGGCAGTTTTGCTCTGCTTCGATCTGGCTTTGATCACCATTAAGTAAAGGCTACAGAAGGTTAGCGGCGCCACTAACGTTATTGCTGCCTGATGATGCAGGGGAAAATGTCAGGACTTTGATAGTCACTTTCCCAGTAATGGAGCAATCAGTGGTAAGGAACGGTATATTTTTCCTGAGTTTGGGCTGCCTTGCTACTCGGGCAGCTTCCTTGATGAGGCTCATCTCATGCCTTCTTTCCCTGCAGGTGAGGATTCCTTGCTATACACAATTGTGTTATGCCACCCAGACTTGATATACATAAATAATGCTTTTCTGAAGGGGTTTCGGTTACTTGTGCTTTGGAGATAACAAGTTCTGGTGTACAGGCTCAGTGAGGCCTGATGCAGGAGAAGGACAGATTATTCACCACGGAATTTTCTGTAACTCACACAATTAGGAACCTGTGCTCTACATGCAAATCAAAGAGAAGCCCAAACAAAATTAGCGAGAGCAGCAATTACCATGTAATAATTACCACCTCCATAAACAAGCCTGATGCATCCCAGTGGGTACGCGCCATTGGATTACTTCTGCATAGCACTGCTGAGCAAAACTCGCCACTGTCAGTGCTGGGGAGAGACCTCTTCCCCTGCAGGTCCCTGCTGCAGGTGAGGGAGTTGTCTGTGCTCCAGCAGAGGCACAGTGCTTCCTGGGATAGGAAGAGCTGACCCATCACTAGTGCTTCCCTTCCACCTGATTGACTTTCCACAGGTCCACCTCTCTCATTCCATGGGTTAAGCTACGATCATGAAGTTGTCTCTCCGAACTTTTTGTGCTGTCAGTTCTCAGTGCCAGCTGTTACACATTCATGCTCAAAACAATGCAGAGATTCTCAGATATTTACCAGGTGCCTGAGGCATGCATTTTTGAAGGAGGCTGATGAATTGACAGGTGAAGCAGGAACAGCACTCATTTCCGAGGCACACAGATATTCAGGCTGATGGTGCAGGTGTCCTGCACGGAGAGCACAGCTGGCGCTACCCCAGTTACCCTCCCAACTCCATATTTCTTAAGAGACTTCATTTGCACAATTTGCAGGGCCTTCAGTGAGCAGTCTGTCACTGTCACTTCTGAGATCTAATGCACGATTGCCATAGTGAAATAGCGCCAAGACACAAACTTATCTCCAGAAAATCATTTTGTTTTCTCTTATATTCCCTTCGTTATCCTCAGGGAAAGACCAACCGTGCTCTTTGATCTCAGGCAATAGCCAAACCATTCATGAAGACTCAGATATTGCAGCAGAAAAAATGTCAACTCTCATGGACAAAATGCATGCAAAATATCACTGGGATATCTGAGGGATCACTGAGGGACCTGAGGAGGGTAGACAGATTGATGGATAACTTTTAATCTGTTATTCATTATAAAGGATTGGGGGTTGAAACTAGATGATGAACACAAAACATTCTGTACCTCCACACCTATCCCTTTGGCACCTGTTATTTGACATTTTTGTTTGATTAGCAGGTTTGCTGTTACACTCACATCTGACCAAGAGTAATGTATAAGAAAAAAATAATTAATCTAAAAGATGGTTATGCTCAATTAACAGTCTGGGAGATCTGTAATTACTTAAACAGAAACATGGCACAGTTGGTGTTGTCCGTCTGGGCAGATGGGAAAACAGGGAAATCGTAGTATCTGTTTTCTTACTCAGCTCTGCTGCTGTTCCTGTGTAAGCAGCTTGAAATCTGGTTGCAGTTTTAAGTCCCATGGAAATGAAGGCAGACTTCCATGCATTCATTCTATGCAAAGGGGCATTTCATCACCCATAGGTCTGGACATATCATTACAGTCTGAATTTTAAAAATACCTCAACTTTTGGAGGGAATCTGGTCTCTGCAGTGCCACTGAAACCCTGGTACGAGCAACAGAAGACCAGCCCTAAACCTGGCTCCTTCCCGGGATGATTGGGGACATGTCAAGCTGCCTGGGGGCAATGGACTTGCAGAAGTCTCTCTCTCCCTTCCTAAGCCTTTTGGGGGAAACCAGGTGAGCCAGAGTTTCCCAAGATCGGACCTGATACTTCTCATGCCCCGCATCTCCCTCATCACATGAGTTTTGCAGCCACCTCTTAGAATTTGATAAGCAGCATTTTTGAGCATTTTGTGTCTCTGACTGAATTCTGCTGGAGGCCACCAGTGGTCAGTGCTGGAAACTTTAATGAGGCAGCTTGCTTTATAAACTGCAGAGAGCCAGATGGAGCCAATTCTGTAATCCTGAAATATAAATTATGTATTATTTAATACAGATTCTGAAGTCCCTGCAGGACTGCAAATCAGCCACTTAATAGCTTTTCACTTTAAACATACTGAACTCTGTAATAACTTGATGTCATTCTGAACACAGTGATTAAGTATTCAGTTTACAAGACAAATGGAGACTCATTAGAGTCAATCAGAGAAGAATAACATGAACAGGAACTGTCGGTATTTATCATAGTTTCAGAAAAGAATATTTTACCAGATACTTTGGAAAAAAAAAAAAAGCTGCTGCTTTGTTATCCTGTGAAAGTACTGCCTTCTTCATAAGAACTTCTAATGAGATCTCTTCCAGTCCCGATGTTTTATGGTAATCTGACTGTACGACGCCATCGTACGTCAGTGTGAAATTAAGTGGTGAGTGTGGCAGTGTCTCTCCTATTGACTATTTCTTCGCAATCTATTTTAAGCTTTTGCTATTGTAATAACCAGAATGAAAGGAAGCTTTACTTTACGTAATGCAATAGGAACTGAATCAGCAGCCAGTGACTTCTAGAACACTGGCCAGAAAATAAAAAAGCAGCAAGGGGAAGGAATATTTGATATGCTTAGTTGGTCATGTTTGCATAATGTGGAAATTTTTCCAGTAATTTAAAGATCAATTACATGAGGAACACAAGGTACATTTAGTTAGATACACGCATTCCAGTGTTTATGATTCCAGTTTCTTGTTACTTCAATTCCATCCATCTCTGTAAGTTTTTTACTGTATTTATCCTACTTTTTTTTCTTTTTTACTGAGGTTGCATGGGCTTTGGCTTCCAAAAGTCAAATACAAATGTCAGAGTAATGCTAATACATCGTAGCCAAGGAATTGGAATAAAATTATTTCCGCTTAGTCAGGGATTTCAGAGTGAAATATGAAGTAGTATCATGAGTAGGTTTGGAGACAGAAAGTCATAGATGGATGCTGCTTTTCAGAAAATTGCTGAGTATTTATTTCCCTGAAATTCTCTGCAGCACAGCAACAGCTGTGGGCTCCAGACACAGCATTCAGGGTTCCCATTGATCAAAGAAGGTTTTATTGTTTAAAAGAATCACAGTCAGGCTCTACTAATTAATAAATAACCAATGTATTCCAAATGACTTGCAATAAAGCTCCTGTTTTAACTCACTGTTTGCAGTAACAGCATGATTCTCTTCCAGGTTATGTGGCATTATTTGTATTTATGGTAGGGCTGTGTTTTGCACCTACTTTTTGTGAAGATAAAGTTGGCATGGCCATCTCCTAGAATCTCGAAGTCAGTTTTGTATTCATTAAGAGATCATGGAATCATAGAATAATTAGACTTGGAAAAGACCTCCAAAATCTTCTAGTCTAACTGTCTACCTACCACCAATGTTTCCCACTAAACCATTTCCTTTATTACCATGTCTAAACGTTTCTTGAACTCCTCCAGAGACAGTGGCTCCACTACCTTCCTGGGTAGCCTGTTCCAGCACCTGACCACTCAGAAAATAATTTTTTCCTAATATCCAGCCTCAGTCTCTCTTGGAGAAACTTGAGGCAAATCCATCTAGTCCAATCACTAGTTGCACGGGAGGAGGCCAACTTCCAGCTCACCACAACCTCCTTTCAGTTAGTTGTAGGGAATGATAAGGTCTCCCCTGAGCTTCCTCTTCTCCAGGCTAAATAATCTCAGTTCCGTAAGCCACTCCTCATAAAGCCTGTGCTCCAGACCCCTCAGAGCTTTGTTGCCCTTCTCTGAACATGCTCCAGAGCTTCAACATCTTTCTTGTAAAGGGCCCAAAACTGAACACAGTACTTGAGATACTGCTATTCCAAGACAATGGAAATTTGTATTTAAGTAAGAGAGCAGAAAGTTTTGCTGAAAAAAAAATAATATTACTTAAGTAGTTTTGCCTTAGAAAAGTAATTATGTTTTCATAGAAAGAAGGGAGAGGTTTTGTCTTCATTTTCTTATTCCACATGTTGAATAAAGACTCTGAGAGGGGGATCATGCCTTGATGCAACCTGCCTGGGCTTTGTGTATTTATTGGGATTAACTACTACTCAAACCGCTCTCGATAAATTAAAACAGAGAAAAATTCTATTTGCATAATACATATGACAATAAGCAGGATTCGTTTTTATTGTTTTTTAATTTTGTTTTGTATATTTGGCATTTCAGATTCTGCTAGTTGTGATTTTTTGGAAGTATTTCATTTCAGTTTTGGGAAACATTTTTCAGTTTGTGGATAAAAAGTAGGTTTTAGTCATAACAAGGGATGATCAAT